GAGAGGTGGTATAAGTTTTCTTGGAACGAGATATGCTATCGCAAATAATCCTTATATACCCGAAATTTACGATGTCAACAAAAAACATAATTTTCTTTTAGCACTAGACGTCACCAACCTCTATGGCAAAATAATGCAAGGAAAGCTCCCTATCGGAAATTTTTCCTGGTTGACTCCCGATGAAGTGATAAATTTTAATGTTCTCGATTACGACGAAAATTCGGATGTTGGTTTCATACTTGAGGTAGATTTAATATGTCCGCCTGAACTTCACGACTATTTTAATGATTTGCCTTTAGCTGTAGAGCATTTATCTGTAACATACGAAATGTTAAGTGACTATTCAAAAAGAATGTGCGACAAGTTTAATTTGAAACACAGCCTTCCCTCTAAAAAGTTAATTCCAAATTTTTATCCTAAGAAAAATTATGTTACTCACTATTTAAATTTAAAATTTTATATCGAGCAAGGTATGCAAGTTAGTAAAATACACAAAATATTTTCCTTTACTCAAACGGAATGGTTGAAACCTTACATAAAATTCAATAACGACAAAAGGTGGCAAGCTACAAACAGTTTCGATCAATCTCTGTATAAAAGCATGAATAATATGTTCTATGGTAGATTAATGTTGAATCAAAGAAAAAAAGTGAATGTACTGGGTTCGTTGACCTCCAGTGACTGCAAGAAAAAACTTACTAGCCCCTTGTTAGAATATTTTGAACCAGTAAACGATCATTTCACACTCTTTAAAATGAAAAAAGCAAATCTCCTTCTCGACAAACCGATATACGCAGGTTTTGTCATATTAGAACTTTCCAAACTTCACATGTACAAATTGTATTACAATCATTTTAAGCAATATTATAATGATGATATCGATTTATTGTATATGGATACGGATTCTTTATATATAAACGTTGTAACCAATGATGCATACCATGATCTAAAACATAAATTTGGTGATATTTTAGACTTCAGTAATTTCGATGAAAATCATACATTATATGACAGCTCCAATCGTGGTAAATTAGGGTATTTAAAATTGGAACATGTAACTCCAATAAAGGAATTTGTCGGATTAAAGCCTAAAATGTATGCTTTTGCGTACGGAGATAACAAAGTTAAAATGCGTGCCAAAGGAATAAAAAAGAGCAGTTTAAAAAACTATAATATAGAGACGTATAAGAACATTTTAAAAAATGAAAGTATGAATAAAAATGTTCAACATACAATCATTTCAAAAAAACAAACTCTTTTCACAGTTACTCAGAATAAAGTTGCTCTTTCTTCTTATTATGACAAGAAGCATGTTTTAAATGATGGTATACATTCATTGGCTTTTGGACATTATAAAATTGAATAGACGATTGATGTTGATTATATTTTCTAATGTTTAATGTGTTTTTGTAAAAAAAAATGTTTGACTCTAGATAACAAAATTTGATGGAGTACAAACCAAAACAGATACTTTTATATTTCTTTAATTTAAAACACATTTTTTTTCTCCATTAATGAAGATTTGCTTTACACATTTTTCTTTGAAAAATGTTTTGTTAAAGCATTTCTAACATTTTTAGAAAATTTGATTAAGCATATATTTTTTATTTTGCGTCAAACAAGTAAGAAAAACACATACAAGTTACCAGTTGGTTATCTACCTCAACACATTTTTTACCATTAAAAATGAATTGTTTGAAACATTTTTAATTCTGATTGCTTTACACATTTTTAATTCTGATTGCTTTACACATTTTTCTTTGAAAAATGTTTTGTAAAAGCATTTCTAACATTTTTCGACAATTTGATTACGAATATTGTGTCAAACAAATAAGAAAAAACATATACAAGTTACCAGTTGGTTATCTAGCTCAACACATTTTTTTCCATTAAAAATGAATTGTTTGAAGCATTTTTAATTCAGATTTGCTTTACACATTTTTCTTTGAAAAGTGTTTTGTAAAAGCATTTCTAACATTTTTCGACAATTTGATTACGAATATTGTGTCAAACAAATAAGAAAAAACATATACAAGTTACCAGTTGGTTATCTAGCTCAACACATTTTTTTCCATTAAAAATGAATTGTTTGAAGCATTTTTGTATGTTTTGCTCTTTTTTCTATCAAAAGTGTTTTGTTTAAACATTCATCTTAAAAGTGTTTGAAGCATTTTTGTATGTTTTGCTCTTTTTTCTATCAAAAGTGTTTTGTTTAAACATTCATCTCAAAAGTGATTTTGTATTTTGACATATATTTGATGTACCTTTTCTCTGTCATTATACTTGTGTGCATGTGTGTTTTTTTTTCTATTTTCTTTCATAGTATCAAAAAAAAATAATGGGGACACAAATAAAGAATAGATCCCCCCATAATGTCTCAGAACTATATTTATGTGTATTTGATCCATAAATAAGGTTTTGTAGATGTATGGGGCTGATTTCAATAACATCGAGTGGAAATACTATTGGCAGGAAGCTCCGCAACACAAAATATCACTGAAAAAGACGCCATGGAATCTAGACAATGCATTAAGGTAAGAGACGTGGTAGTTTGGACAATTTTACTAATATAAAGCTTTAATATTTAACGGAGACATATCCGCTTAGTTTAACTTTTAACTTTGCCCTTTTAATGATATGTGTTGAATATTAAGAATGTTGTTGTCTAAAATTAGCATTGTCTCTTCCAGCTTATTCTGAGATCTCTAAAATCTAAGAAGAAAAGGAGAGGAATAGATGCGAAACTACTATTGGTAAAATAAAATAAATTTTATTTTTATTCATAAGTTTATAAAAGATGATAAACCATAATGGTACATTAATATATACTATCAGTATTATTTGCTAAAATAAAACAGTTAAATCTTAGAGCAGATTTTGCCTAAGTAAATAAGAACCACTCGTTTAAATATGTGATTAACAACTTCTTCCGAAAGTTCAATGTTTTCTAAAGCTTCACAGCTTGAGACTTTATCAACATATTTTGTTATGAATTTAGCGCTAAGTGCTTGGTTTTTAAAAACTTCGTTCCAATCTATTACATTTTTTAGTCCTTCAATGATAGTCTCTGTCAATTTTTGATGCCGTGCAACTAAGGACATATCCAACGTATTGACGTGATCGACGATAAATCCGTCGCTCAACTTCTGATATTGGGATATTTTTTTCCAATCCAAGCGCTCCTTGAATTCAAGAAGGAAGCGCACGGGCAGTTTCTGATGTTGACTTATCAAACTCCAATTGATAAGTTCTGAATTCAATCTCATAAAAGTCTCACTTAATATTTGATATTGACAAACGTGATTCCAATTCAATCGCTCTTTAAATTCATGCATGAAGTTTTCCGAAAGAGACTGATATTTACAAATATTGTCCCAATCCAGTTTTTCTTTCAGACTTCGAATGACGTCCTCGCTTAAATTTGTATCTTTTGAAAATGCAACCCAATCCACATCGTTAGAAGTCATTTTAGAAGATAACTGAGACACGCTTTCACTCGTGACGCAAATGAGAAGTGTCTAAATATTCGACCTTTTTATAACATGACAAATTATCTCAATTCACTTCACTTTGAAATGCGAGATTCATTTTATTTCCTACTTTATTTTTTAATTTGCGAATCAACAAAGTATCTCTTTCAGTAATTCGAACGTACGAAAGAAGAAGGAAGGGGGAAAAAGATCATTCGCGCGGTCTGTTGTCAAATGGAAACTGAAACTGAAAGAGGAAAAAAAAATCGCGGTATGGGGTGGGTTTAATTATAGACACGTGCATGCGCGTGCTTGTTTTTTATTGAATAAAACTGAACTGCGTTTAGAATGAAATGAAACTTTTATTATTTCTAAATGAATACAAACAAAATATTCAAAATTACAAAGTACATTTTTTTAAAAGTACAATTATTGCTGTGAACAATTATAATTATTGCAAAGTACAAGTATTTACAGAGTTTTGCCTCTACAAAAGGGGAGAGAGGACTTAGATCTACCTGGCATTTGCCTTGACAACGGAAGGAAAAACCCCTTCAAAAACTTCCATCAGGTAGTTTCATGCATCAGCAATGGAGTTCTTTTATAACATCATCAACGGTGAGTATTTTAAAATATGCAACCTTTAAGTGAGGATCACAAGTTCTTCCGGCAACATCGTGTCTCATGAAGGATTTGGCATCCAATATGATGGTAAGTAAGTCATTTTTGAATTCTGCGTTACTGCTGTAGACAGAGTAGTGTTCGTCGCCATTGCATTTTTTCAGACATGAAAATCCGTATAATCTGTCCATGTTTAATGTATCGTGAAGGAGCATTACGGTTTCAGAATTTTTTAAAATCTTGAAATAGAAAATATTATCGCTGTTGTTAGGTTCTTCCTCAACAGCACATCGAATGCAATCAGGGAATTCGGTAAAAAGCGAAGTATGAATATACTTCGCTCCATTAATACCAGAAACTATGAATCCGTAGCGTTCCATCTCTGAAGGAGGAGTGAGATTCTTTCGAATTACCGTAGCATATTCCTCATCGCCCTGCAGCTTTGGCTCTTGGCGTGAAAGGAATGACAACATTTGCCAAATTTCAGTTTTTTAGAAAATCGCTGGATAAATTGTTCGTTCTTGGACTTATCGACTTCACTAAGTTCACTTAACTTTAAATTTCGACTGAATTTATATAAAAAAAATAAACAAAATAATCCACACGTGAAAGTTAAAATATCTTGGTAACAATTTTTGTTGTATACCATGCGCTTCGAATTACGTTCAATAAATTTCAAAATTTCGCTCGTAGGTGCTTTTCCATAACTGTCGAAATACGATGCTGTTTCCCCATCAAAAAATACAGCAACCCAATGACTTCCAGGTAATTTTTGAGGATCTAAATTTACAATAAAAGAATTAAATTTATTTCTAAATTTCGGTAAGGTGTCAGATGCGAAAACACCTCCAAAACCACTACGAATATAGTTATCGCCGCACGCGAAGCGACACACGGAAATTGTATCCATTAATAGTCTGTGAATACTGTACGCGATTTATCAATTTCGATGCAGTTATTATACACAGCATATACAACTAAGTTCTGAGTATCCTCCAAGGGAGAGCTGAATTTTATATCGATGGCAATATTACCATTTTTCGTAGTGCTGTTGTGACTTTCGCCAGAAGCAAAGTCGGGCGTCAAATCGAAAGCGTACAATGTGTAGCCGTTTTTAAATTCCGAAAAACTTATATTTATGTTTTGATGATTATGATATCGGCTCAGGTCTGTAAATAAGCTGAGGTAACTCCTAGCGTAGTTATCCGTCTCAAAATTTGGCTGGTAAGCTTTAGCGGGAAACATTTTACCAGAATTCAAAACAGTCAAGTACGCTAAGTTATTATGTTTAAAATTAAAAGGGTTTTTGTTAATTTTACCGTTATAAGCATCATTGGATACGAAACCCATCACGAGACGTGAAGGAATTTGACCTATGAATGCGTTAGCAATAGTTATAGATGCTAACCCATTCGATAGCGTAAATGATTTCACATCAGTTCTGCGTATAGGCATTTTAATATTCCCTTTCTCTAAAGCTTTCTCGTGTGCTAGCACGATAGAAGGAGAAACAATAATTTTACGTATATAAAGTTTAGCAGAATGAACTTTACATTGATAGGAGTCGTTTTCTGACATAAGTGAAAAAATATCCTTATTGCGTTCCATTTTAATTCGCAAACTAACACCGTTAATTAAAAGTTTGGGTTGCATCCCTAAGTCAAAGTGTAAAGGACCAATAAGGTCCATTGTTTTGCTCAAACTACTAGCCACCTGTCTGCTCTTAAATCCTGCATTCGTAGAATCATCTTTTACTTCATCATGTTTTCCGGCTGTATCTTTAAAAAACAAAGCGGAGGTCAACATGCTGTTTTGAGAAGATTTCGAGGAAAGTAGTAAACTTTCAAATATAGCCCTATATGCATAGTTCACTTGCGAAGAGACCTGTTTATCGTTTAAGAAAACTGAACATTCCGAAAACATAGTGTTTAAAAAATAGTTTATAGGCGCTACATGATCCGTGTTTCCGATATCGACACCAGTCTTCTTTTTAATACTCACTTGCATATGAATAATGCTGTGACCAAGATCTAGATAATTTTCACCGGAAGCTCCGACATACCATTCAATTGTGGAACTGTTATCATTTAGTGAAGCTACTGGATGAACTTCCAGAAACGACGAATCGTCAATTGCGAGTTGAAATGGTGTAGCAGAAAACAAGTCCAATTCACTTTTAAGACCGACAGCTGCGTTATCATCCATTTTTTAGGAAAATATATCTTTGACTGCAGTTTTGCAACGTTTCGCTTTAGTCTGACGAGTTTGCTTTGAGCGTTTTCTTTTTATACCCCTACCCTGCTGTAATTTTTTGAAAATATCGTCTCTTATATCCCTACCCGCTTCGCGCAATCGCGTTCGAGCCGCTTGTTTGAACGAACTTCCGCTTGCAATATCATTTACAACATTACGGCCAGTCGATAACACCTTTTTACCTATGTATTTCCCAGCACGCAAAGCAATGGGTGTAATGTATCTTCTCAAATCACCAAAAAAACCATAGCCGCGTTGATGAGCAATACCTTGAAAATAGGGTCCACCTCCAACCTGGGAGCAGTAATAGGATTCGCAGTCTTTCGCATTCAAATGCATCGTCGTCGTCTTTGAAAGAACAAATGAATGTTTTTGTGTAGTGCTCCTTTCTTTTATAGTTTCCGTCGCCTAAATGAGAGTATAACGTACGTTTTACCGCCGGAAAAAACAATCTGATTGCCTGAACTGGTTTTTAATTCGATTTGGATTGTTTCAATGAAATGTTTTCGTAAGGGAAAATATAACGGTCTTTGATAGTGTTTAACAATCTGCTCGCTTCTTTCGGTCATACAAGGTATAATTCTCAAAAGAGGCGAAAAAGAATCGCCAACGTGGTGAGAAGAAACCAAATCGGTGTACACGAAAATTTCCGTAATCCCTGCATCGAGCTCGAGAGGGTACGTGCTGGTGTATACCCCCTCTTTAAACTGAGTGGTTTCAAAACCTAACATGTCTGCCAAACTCTTAACCAGATTTATCTCATAAGCAAAGGGTATTCTCATCTTTACCCTTAAATCGGGGAGCTGACTGAAACTAATATGTTTAAATGAGTTAAAGAAACTTTCGGGATTTTTGTACATGCCTACGTCTATTTTTAATTCCTCGTAATGTGTTTTAACCTCTAATATTTTGTAGTATTCGTAAACGCGTAGATTAAATGCTTCTCCGATTTCTATTTTGACATGCGGATCAATTTTAAACATCTTCGTACCTTTTATTACAAGTTCTTCATCATCCGAGTAAAGTTTCTTTAGTAAAAATGGTGAGGATTCTTTTTTAAAAATCACTTCCGCTGTATCTGCCACATTAATTGTTAATTCCATTTTCACTGAATCGAAAAAAAAATTGACAAAATTTTGTACCTCGAATAACTGCAGATTTAAATTGAAAGCACTAATCATATCGTTTATGGTTCTTAAAGGTTCTTTCAAATCGTCTTTAATGGGTACGTTCGGTATTAAACGATCAGTGACGCTTTTCGGATTTCTATTAAAGACATAGAAAACTATTTTCAACGGATACACCGTGATGGGACGATAGTTGTAAACTTGCGTACTTTTAATGATTTTATCTCGGTTTGTTTGATGTAGCATGTGCAATAATTTGCTATCTTTTTTAATATCAATTTCGAAACCATCCTGTATACCAATGCTGATTTCAGAAGTTGATTCACTCGGTATAAAAGTTACGGAGGCTTTTTCTACTAACACGGCGGCGATTGCATTGTTTATAGATTCACAAAACTGAAAAATTGTAGGCATTTCGTCGTAACTCAACTCTATTTTGTGTTTTTCGTATTTCGTTTTGACCCATTCTTCTGTTTTATATCGAACGGAATAACTATTATTATGTTTGTTCACATTGAACCAATTTCTGGGGATAAAAATTTCTTCTAGACCAACTTCCCAATCACCATCCAACATGAGGGGAGATGATAACTTAGTGCGAAACGACGATTGCGTATTTTGAGGGAAATATATTGAACTCGAATTACTGGGTAGGGTCACATAAAAATTATTGACTACACCTGAATCCATGATCGCTTGACCCAGCTATTATGCTCGTTCGAAAATCCTAACCACTTAACAAAGTATTCTTGTTTAGCACCGCTACCTCTCTTCTTTAAAATTTTTTCCACTCTCCAAAAATCACCTGAATGTTTCAAGACTGGCTGTATCTCCTGTTCGTAAAATCTTCCGCTCACGACGTTCGCTTTCAAATCATTTAATACATATGTCGGAGGAACAGTAGGATAGCGTTTAAATATGGTAAATACTTCGTCTGTCCAATTAGGTAAGTAGCCTCGTCGAAAGGTTTTTTTAGCTTTGGAAATTCTCACTTGATCACCCAATTTGAACTTAAATTTAACATCGCCTTCGTAACCGTATAACTTTTTAAAAATAATGCTAAAATGTTCCGGAGTTACATCAACGGGCGCAAAACCTGTACTCCTATGTACGCTTTTGTTATAACTTTCCAAAACCGAAGGTAATATGTCTACATACTTATGAGATCGACGGTGAGTGAAAATGCGAAAAAGCTTATTTTTCAATGTTCTATTAAATCGCTCAACCACGACGGCTTTGGTTTCGCTATAAGAAGAATAATGGTGAATTTTTTTCTTTTTAAATAACGCTTGAACGCGTTTGTTATAGAATTCTCCACCCTGATCAGTTTGCAGTTTAGATACTGCTCCGGATAGCTTGAACAACTTCTCTAAAGCATCGACGAGAGTTTCCGCTTTTTTGTTTTTCAAAGGTATCGCGTACGCATATTTAGAAAAAACATCGATGGCCGTCAAAAGGAATTTGTGACCGCCGTTGTCTTTAGAAAATTTTGACAAGTCGACTAAATCGCATTGCATTAGTTCACCTATTCCATACGAGAGCACTTTTCGACGTTGAAATTTAAACCTTGCAGGCTTGTGCAGCGTGTAAGCGTCTTGACTTTTTAACCATTCTTTCGCTTTTTGTGTTGAAGAGGATGCAGCCTTAGCAAGTTTTAAAACACCACCGTATGAGGCAGGATTCTTAATATCATAATAAATTTTTTCAAATTTTTTACTTTCATCAGCAATCGATTTTGTTTTCTCCATCAACATGCGAAAAACACAGCTTAATATTTTTTCCACTTGCCGAAAGTCATTAAGACTTTCTTTCTTTTTTGGGGAGTAAATGAAGAAGGCGAACGTTCGGAAGAGTCAACAGATGTGCGCGCTTCCGCGTTCGACGGACTATTAAACACTCCCACCTTCATGCGTTGTAATACATCTTTATTCCCTACCCACGAATGCGGCATATTAATTTCCTGTGGGACACGAAAAAATTCATCAAACTGTCTCGGCTCGCGCTGGCTTTTAACATTGCGCAAAAGATAAGAGAAAAAATCTGCCACTCTGGTATTTTTTAGCGGAACGTTGTCGATCGTCATCTCTCCCAATTCATTCCACGAAACCATTCTCGTTTTCAATTTTTGGATAATCATTGGGATAAATTTCCAATACTGACGAGGAGTAGAGGCAAATATATCTTGTAGAATTTTATCATCATTATTGTCCATAATATTTTCATCGCTACCTGTACCACTTGTTTTGGAATCGAGTAAACGTTCTTTTTCCTCATTCACAACAGTAACCCTCGTCGGCTCAGGTGGTTCGTGAGTTATTTTTTGGTATCGCATGATAAGCTGACCCAACAATTTAACTTTCATATCGTCGGGTAACTTTTCTCTTTCTAACAAATCGACAATATCATTTTCCGTGCGTATTTCTGGTTTTTTAATGTTATAGTTTGATATCAGTTCCTCTGGTATCAGAGCCATTTTTCGAGCCATAATACAGCGATTAACACCACTCGCGCTTGTGACGAAAGTCACTATAAACAAATCATTTAAAAGCTAACAAGAAATCAAATATCAGAACTTGATACCCATTGGTGAAGTCATTTAAATCCTTTTACCAATCGCGCGACCTGCCATTCCGGCAAGGGCAGAAACTAAAGCAGGGAGAACAATTGGCAAAAACCCACCAGTTTGTCCGCTCAAAATTTTCTTCTTTTTTTTGATGCAAGTGGAACGTTTCGATAATTTTCTGATGGCCGTTTTATATTTACGAAGTTTTTTAACATTCGTTGACACGTTACCAGAGAGTACATTCAAACATATTTCTGACAAGCATGTAATTTGGGATTTATCAGCTTCGTTGAGTAATGCTTTCCGTTGCTTCGGCGTACATCTCATTAAGTAGTTAAGAAAATGGGAATGCTTTTTCAATTTATCCATTATTGAGGTTGATAAGTCCAATAAATACCGTTGCTATCTGGAAACAAGCTGTCACGTAGTCTGTGTTGTTCTGACGTTCGAGGATGTAAGTCCACAACTAAATAACCGTGAGGTTTACTCGTAGCTTTTATATACGCATCGACCAGAAATTGTGAGTTTCGAGGGTACAGCTGTCGCCCCAGACAGTTTATTTGATTCATGTCACGAGGATTTTTAAACAGTATGAGATAGTGGGAATTTAAACTAATGTCGCGCATCACTTTCGAACGAGGAAATAAATTCTGTAAAATCAAAATGACAGAAAATCCAGAGTGATGTGATTTGCCGACAAACAAATCTGCAATTTTTTCATCTAAATGATGAATAAAATCATCTATAACAATGAGATCTCCATTCTCATAGTTATCGGGTAAGCCTCTCACAAACTGAAAATCTGGTTCTTCCACGAACCAAGGGGCAGAATACAAGTAACACCATTTAATTTTTCGTGGCTGTGTCTCGTATATATTGTTTTTAATAATTTGACGAACCAGAGTTGTTTTTCCCACCTGGCTCGGTCCCACCATCATACACGTGCTCGGAAATTTCAATTTTAGCATTGTAGACACACTCGACGAAACTCTGGTTCTTTTAACTGCACACCGATTACTTCAGGTTTTAAATAACCGGGTTCGTCTCGCCAGAAATAACGAATATCATAAACAGGGGAATTTCCATCAGAGCAGATGTGTAAAAACAAACGTCTACCAATGTTTTCAGAGTAAGAGCAGCTAGTATTATTTATATTGACTTCACCCTCATAATCACAACGATTCAGAAAAAACAACGGTTCCAAGGCGCAAATAATGGCGAGAAATATTATAATCAAACTTTTTTTGTGTGGAAAGCGAATC